AGAATGACATTCAACAGGGATAAGTGCAAAATCCTGCAGCTTGGAAAAAATAAACCAGTTGCACAGTTACAAGATGGGGACCACCTGGCTCAGCAAAACTGTGAGCGAGAAGGATCTTGGAATTGTTATAGATCACAAGCTAAATATGAGCCCACAGTGTGATGTGGCTACAAAAAAGGCAAGTGCTATTTTAGGCTTTACTTTAAAATGTATGTTTCAGCAGTAATGAATATCTAGCTTTCTTGTCTCTTAAGAAAATTCTAGCATGAAACAGGATACTATAGAGGCCAAATAACTGTTGAAAGTTCAAAATTCTATTCTGAAAGGCTCTAACACCTGAGCCAGGTAGGTGGGGCTCATCAGCCTTGGGAGGCAGCCCATCTAGGAGAAGGAAAACTCCGATTTCAAACCCCCATTGCCTTGTCGCTGTATCCACTGATGGAAAAGGCTTCAGGAGTTAACCTCTAGGCAAAATCTGGAGCCGGAGTCCCAAAGGCAGTTCGTGTCATTCTGGCAACTCCTGCGAAGTCGCTGGAACCAGTTGTATTGGCTCTTGCCTTTCCATTGGACTATTTCAGCGATGTGGAGAGGGGGAATTTGCTGCTTGGGTAACAGCCTATCCTCCATATTATTCTACCCAGGCTTTGGAGGACACGCCAGCTTCGCATACAGCATTGAAACAACACAGAAAGGGATGGTCACTCTCAAATTGGCCTTCTCAGCCACACTAGACGCTGTTCCAAGTCCTTCATACAGAGCATGTTACCAAAGTCTCTCGAGACTGAAGGATGCCTATGATTTTAGGCTGCATTAATAGAAGTACTATTTCCAAATCCTGCAAGGTGCTAATTCCCCTCTATTGAGCACTCGTGTCTGGACACCACACTTCAAGAAGGACTCTAACAAATTGGAACAAGTTCAGAGGAGGGTGACAGGATGATCAGGGGACTGGAAACCAAGCCCAGTGAGGGAAATTCTGAAAGAATTGGGCATGTTATCATTGAGAAAAGAAGACAGAGGAGTGATATGATAGCACTTTTCAAGAGGAGGGTCAAGATCTGTTCTTGATCATCCCAGAATTCATGACATGCAACAATGGGCTCAAGTTAAAGGAAGCCAGATTTCAGTTAAATGTCAGAAAAACATTCTAACTGTTAGAGCAGTACAACAGTGGAACAAGTTATCTTGGGAGTTGGTGAGTGCTCCAGCACTGGAGGCCTTCAGGAGAAACTTAGACAACCACCTGGCAGATCTCCTTTGATTTGTATTCCTGTCTCAAGCAGGGGTTTGGACTTGATGGCCTTATAGGCCCCTTCCAACTTCACTTTTCTATGATTCTATGATTTTAGTGTTCTCAGTTCCGGATACCCCAAACCAAGGTCACCCCACTGCTTCCCGGTCTGGGAAGGAAATGGTTGCTACCCTGGGAGAAAAACCTGGATGTAAAGACTTACAGGTAATTCAGTTACCACAAGAAATTCCTTATTTTGGTAACTGGGTGCAAATAAAGTAACATTTCAAAAATAACACAAATGGGAATCAAGTTACAGTGGTGCCCCGCATAGCGAGTGCCCCGTTTAACGACAAATCCACATAGCGATGTGGATTTTGTGATCGGTAAGCATTTAATGCGTTCCTACGGGGTTTTTCGTTCCGTATAGCGACGATTCCAGATAGCGTCAATTTTCCTGGAACGGATTATCGTCGCTATGCGGGGCACCACTGTACTTGCATGTGTTCTAGTTACTTTTCCATGACCCTTTCGGCCTTTTCAGAAATGTTTCAATGCAAATGTTTACTCCCTTATTAATCCTAAGGGATGTTTTTCTAAAGGTAAGAAAACAACTACCTCAACATTGCAATGAGTAATGGCAATAGGTTAACCTTTCAAGCATTGCCCTGCGTAATGAAAATGCTTTCCTGGAAAAAGAAAGGAGCACATTCCAAGCCCTGCCTAGAAGAGCAAACCTGGGCATCTCAGCCCGAGAAAGAGCTACTTGTTGAGTACCGGGGTCAACCCAGGTGGGGCTGGGGGGGTCGCTGGGCGGTGGAGGATGCCTCCTGAAGCCAGAGGGGCTTCTCGCTGGGTTCACCTCTGTCCCCCAGCACTACCTGGAGGAGAGACACGTGTGGCATGGGGATGTTTATTTCAGAGGGAGGGTTAGTGCTCCTAGGAGCGAAAGCCAGAGATGGAGGGGGCCTCTCCGGAGATTCGCATGTGCGAGATATCCAGGGGTCAATCGCCCAGCTCTGCAAGGTTTGGCTTCTAGCTCCTGGAGGTTCCCTGCCCAAGCCAGTGTCTCTCCCCCCCCCCCAGGTTATCTGAAATATCTCAGTGCCAAGTGGGTGATGCTATAAAGGGAATGGTTGATCCCTTGCAATTCTTCGGTAGTGCTCCAAAATTTAACCTTGTTTTGACTGGTGCTAGGCT